TTTTGACGATGTTTTGATACATTTTGTCGAATTTATCGTATTTTGACGAACTTTTCGAAAAACACAGTTTTTCAGTAACCGGACGTTTTAATAAGTTAAAACAACGGTTTTCTAAAGTTAAGTAACGATTTTCACGGTAGCACCCCAAATCAGTTTCGCAAAGTAAAAATGTTTTAGTTTTCAAAGACTTTGCGAATATTTGCGCAACTCTGATTTATCTAGTAAGGTGGGGTGTTACACTACCACTTCAATACTCATTAGTTGTGGGAGATCAAGATTAAGCAAAAAGTCATCGCAGGCCAAGACTTGTTTAGCAGGCTCGTGTCTTGGCTAACAAACCAATATTTTAGGGTGGACAAATACACTAATCTCATCTTATTGCATCTAGTACACCGCCGAACTGTAAACGAACAGAACGTTCGCGAACAAAAGCTTGTTCGAGTTTGTTCGTGTTCGACAAAAGCTCGTTCGTTTGTTAATCGAGCCAAGTTCGAACAGAAAATTAGGCTCGTTTTTTTCGCTAAGATTTACGCTTCCGCTTTTTTCCCACTAATAATAAAATAAAATTTCAACACTTGTGCATTCAACCCCACAACACAAATGACCCACTATTGTAATAGGCCACCCGATTTGCCATTCTTGTTTTGCTCTTCATTTTATCGTTGTTTTCGCGATTGATTGAAAATATGGCACCATCGTCATCGTGCTTCTTCAGCTCTCCAGTCTGTATCTCCCTCAAGGTATGGTTTGGCAATGACAATAACAGTGTTGGTTAATTATTAGTCTCTGTGTCTAATGGGTTTTTAGTTTCATCATCTGGGCTTTCTGAAAGATTTCTTCTTTTTTGTTGGATATGCGAGTATTCTGAGTTAATTTATCCATATTGGTTTTGCTTCTGTTCTTGCCTAATTTCACCATTCTGGGCATTTTTTTTTAACCTCTCTCGTGTGAATGATTGGCTGATGAATGATGATGATCCTAGCTTTTAGCTTGCTTTTCCAGTAATCTTGATAAATTTTATTGCTTTGGACATGTGGTTGCGTATTACCGTCAATGAGTACCAAGTGTTTGTAAAAATGTCAACTAGATTGCAAATATAGGAACCATCCCATCGAGCAACTTCTTTGTTTCTGAGAGTAGTGATCCTTTCTGAAGTTGTCAAACACTCTTAGGCTAGTTCGAGTTTTTTGAGTTGTTAAACAAGATTTTTTTATCCGATATATTGTAGATTGACCCCCACCCAAAACAGCACCCGAGCAGCTCGTATAACAATAGGATAAACCAAAGATTTTCTCTTCAAAGAGCAAAAACTAAATTGTTTGGCCAGCCAGTGGTAGAAAAGGAAATAAACCAATGTATCAGCTGGAATCACCATGGAGGCTCGAGAACCGTTCCTGGAAGAATTATTTTCCGCACCAAAAGCTTGACGGTTAATGCTTTATGTAAGGTTTCCTTTGCTCATCTCTCTTCTGTGGTTTCACTTCACTTCTCTTTTCTTTTTTTAATTTTAAGTTTTAAGTTATTTTTTATCATGCACTTGAAACTGGATCTTCAATTCAAAGTATTGTGTGTCACCTAATCCAGAAACTAGATAATTTGTTTTCTGGTCTCAAATGTTAGGGACCATAAAAATGATTTCCATGTCTGTTATCTTTACTCAAATTTTTCATGGGAATCGAGCAAATTAGTAAGTGGCATATCATGTAAATCTTTTTTTTTCTCTTTCTGTTTATTTCAGGGATGCCATGTTCCCAGATTGCGAGCAGTGCTTTTACGTTGGGGACTGCAGCTGTTCTTCCATTTTACACCTTCATGGTGGTCGCACCTCAAGCTGAATTCGTAAGTATTCTAGTTGACTCGATCATAACTTCAAAATGTATCATAACTATCAGTGCATGTTTGTCTTGATCTTTTTGTCATTGAGAGAAACTCTCAACCACTTACTTATTGAAGGAGTAATTGAGAATCGGAAGTTGGTGCAAAGACATTGATGAAGTTAAGAAAGAGTACTCAGAGGAGAAGTTGAAAAGTGTGAATTTGAATGTGTGTCAAACAGAGCAGAACTAAAAGTCTAAACTCCTTTCGAGGCTTTTACATTCGTTCAAATGGAGCACAATAAGCAGTAGAACCATATTCATCAACAAACACTAGAATGTGACTTTGTGCTTCTTTTGAAAACTTCACAATAATCTTTTTTTTTTTTCAAGTGATTGCACGCTAATTCTTTCTGTGTTTTGCAGACAAAGAAAGTTGTGGCAAGCAGCATACCTTATATTGTTCTCGGTGTATTATATGCTTACCTTCTTTACCAGTCATGGTCACCTGATACGATCCGTCTGATGTTTGGCAGTAAATACTGGCTGCCTGAGGTGTGTGTTGTGACCATGGAATAACTCTGAAAACAGTTAGAAAAGTTGTATGACCAAAGCCTTAATAAATTGACCATGTGTTTTCAGTTGCCTGGTATAGCAAAGATGTTCTCGAGTGAGATGACTTTGGCTTCAGCTTGGATTCATTTGTTAGCTGTGGATCTTTTTGCCGCGAGGTAAGTTATTTTAATTCACTCTCCTCTGGGTTTTCTCGCACCCAATAGATGCATCTAACTTACTCATCTTTCCTTTTTTTTTTTTTAATTGGTCCAGGCAAGTTTATTTCGACGGATTGCAAAAGAAAATCGAGACCCGACATTCGGTTTCTCTTTGCCTGCTGTTTTGTCCCATTGGAATTCTTGTTCATTTTCTTACAAAAGCTATGACTGGATTTTTTAATAAAAAATCTACAGGGAATTGACAAGCGAATGATATTTGTTGGCTGGATTTTGTAATTGTGGCTTAAATGTAAATTTTTTGCAGTGTAGAGTTTTGTTGAATGTAAGACCAGATGATGCCAAGTTTTCGTTTTTTATGCTCGGCAATTTTGCTATATTTCCTAGGGATATCAAGACTTGGCACTTGTCAATGATTGCTCAACCAAGTCCAGAATTTTATGTCAGAATCAAATAAATTTGGGTTAATTGTTATTTAAACCTTTACCTTTCGATTTTTGGCAATTTAATTCAAACTTTTGGATAATTGCAATATAATTCTGACTTTGACTTACTTTTGCAAAACGAACTTTATTTTCGCCGGAGGTTCAAAAAATGTCAGCGTGTCCGGCTACTTATATCCACGTTGGATTTTCATTTTCCTGAGTAGGAAACATAAAATATGTGGAATTGAGAAAATTTAAGATTTAATTGTATAGTCATCCCTAAAATTAAACTTGATAAAAGAAAAAAAAAAAAAAAGAAATTTCAAATCCTTAAACCTACATCTCCACCTTAATGACAACCATGCCACCACTATTCCGGCCACCATCGGCGGCTCCGACGTCAAATGTCGGGAAAAGATCCTTTACCTCGAATCCATCAAAGGTAACCCCACTAAAGCACTCTACATAAACTCTAATTTCCATTCAGCACCAATCTCCACAATCACGCAATGTCTCCTCGATGGGCATCAACCTCGCACGCCTTTCGCCATATTCTTGATATGTAAGCTCATCTTTTCACTATTACCCCTACAGCGGTGTTTACCTTCTAAAGCCTGAAAATTCATAATCCGGGGACTTAGAATACTCGTTTTTGGCCTGGAGGCCCGATTGAGGCCCACATTGGAGTTCCTAGACGAATTAGGCATCTTTGGCCCAAATTGACAGACATCTAAGAGCACGCTACTGCTTGTCTAAATTACAGAGTCCTTGTCGATACCAAAGGTTGAGTTTTGTTTGGGTTAGGGTTCGAATTGTATGACGTCAGACACGAATGGCGCTAGGGTCACTGGGATCGTTGGCCTTCAGCGTTGATAATGATTACAAGAATTTGCTCAGGAAGGAGCAATCTGGACAGAAAGGGGATGGGACTGGGGAAGAACACCCGACAAATAGCAAATTCGATGGTGCAATTGGTGAGGAGAGTCGCCGCCGGGATCTTCCACGCCGGTGGGAGCTTTTGGCCGCGGAAGATAACTGGACGGCCGTTAAGATTTTAGAAGGTGAAGTTTTTTTTTTTTTTTTTTTTTGCCTTCTTTTTATTTTTTGTTACATTTTGTTTTAGTAAAGGGTTAATTGCTAAATAAACCTTAACCTTTTTGCGTTTTGTAATTTTATCCCAATCTTTGGGTAATTACAATATAATCTCGACCTCAATTTACTTATTGCAAGTCGAACCTAAAACTGATTGGACCTTAAAAAACTGGTCGATTTGAAGGCGGTTCGAGCATATCGGAGCTCATATTTACCAGTTCACTTAAGATCTAGGAAGATACTCATCACCGGTAGCTTACATTGACTTGGAATTTTCGGCTTTGTGCGTGGATATACATTAAATACTCGGAAATTATCAACTTGCTACGTGGATGGCATAAAAACCCGTGCCAATGGAAGACTTGGACACAAAATCGATCCACAAATCCCTAAAATCAATCACTCTGCATCCAAATTTGCAATAAGTAAATTGAAGTCGAGATTATATTGCAATTACCCAAAGATTGGGATAATATTGTCAAAAACGCAAAAAGGTTTAAGCTTTATTTAGCAATTAACCCTTTATTAAATTGATGATTAGGATAAGTGTGATTTTATCTGGGGGGGCACACGTAAAAGCTTTAATTTGTTGATTGGTTTAATCTGGGCACATTTACATGTAATTTTAATCAGGTGGATTCTTTTTTCCTAACTTATTAATTCCACATACGAGCCTGTCGTCGCCACATATATTTTCAGTTATAAAAATCCGCACCCAGCAAAGTGAAAATCCAACGTGGATATAAGCAGTCGGACACAGCTGTAACTTTTTGAACCTAAGACGAAAATTAAGTTCGTTTTGGAAAGTAGGTCAAAGTCGGGATTATATTACAATTATACAAAAGTTTGGATTAAATTGCTAATAGCTGAAAAATAAAAGTTTAAATAGCAACTAACCCAATAAATTTATATAAATTCTGATGTGATACAATAACCTAATAGTAATAGTTAGTCTGGTTGACAAGCTATTCTCTTGAAATTATATTAGGCTCGTGAAATATGGCCAATATACCAGGAGATTTAGAAATGTAAGATATAATCCTGCAGCTTCCTTGTTAGTGAAGTGCAACTTCCTTGCATTTTCACTACACTTTCATTGCACTTGCAAAGCACTTTCATGGCAGCCATTTTAGGCTAATTTTTCATGACTTTTCAACTTAAGTAATTTCTAGGAAAGTCACTAGAATAGTTGTTTTTTAGTTCTTATAAATAGGGATGCAATTTTCATTTGTAAACACACAGAAAAACTTAATACTCAATACATTGAGTTGTTCACAATTTTCTTCTTTCATCCTAAAAGTGTTCGTTTGTGTCGGAAGCATTTTTGCTTACCTGAGCAGTGAACGAGCAGGGACTAACTAGTGGCATCAGAGCCATGGCAAACCAAGATGTTGCATCGATGGTGCAAGGGAGCAGAGCAGATGCTTCACTGCGCCAGGAGGTCATCATCCACAGGACCGTGCGAGACGTTGGCGGGGCCAACTGGCCGGTCCTCACACGCACAAACTACGGCGAGTGGGCGGTGCTAATGAAGGTCAATTTGCATGCGCGCAAACTTTGGCGGGCCATCGAGGAAGGCACCGAGGATGAAGAAGAGGACTGCGCAGCGATGGAAGCAATTTTGTCCGTTGTGCCTCACGAGTATGTGAAGTCACTGGGCACAAAGGACTCCGCAAAGGCTGCTTGGGACGCTCTCAAGGCCAGGCGCATCGGTTCTGATCGCGCAAAAAAGGCGAAGGCGCAGCAACTGCGGCGGGAGTACGAGGCGCTGGCATTCCGCGACGGCGAGGCAGTGGAGGATTTCTCGCTCCGTTTGCAGTCGCTCGTCAGTCAGCTAGCGGCGCATGGCGTCCCCATCACCGACGAGGAGGCGGTCGCGAAATACTTGCGCGTCGTGCCGCCTATGTATGCCCAAATCGCGCTCTCCATTGAGACGTTGATCGACATGTCCACCCTCACGATTGAGGATGTGACTGGGCGCTTGAGGGAAGTGGATGAACGCGTGGAGATGGCGACGATAACTACCAGCCGCAAGTTACTACTGACCGAGGAAGAATGGGCAGCTCGTATGCGCGAGCGGCGACCCGGGGAAGGCTCCTCTAACCATGGCGGCTACGGCAAGCACCGTGGCAAGGCCACACAGAAGAAGAAGGACGACAACAACGCACGTCCGATCGATAAGGACACTTGTCGACGCTGCGGGAAGACAGAGCACTGGGCCCGGGATTGCAAGAATCCCAAGAAGGAGAAGAGGGAGGCGCACCTCGCGCAGGTGGACGACGAGGAGCTAGCTCTACTCATGGCAACGAGTCGAGTGCCCAAGTCCACCTTGGACGAATGGGCGGTGGCATCGAGCAGAGGTGATACCTGGACTCCGGCGCCAGCAACCACATGACCGGCTCCAAGGAGGCCTTCTCCGAGCTTGATGACGACGTGACGGGGACGGTGAAGTTCGGCGACGGCTCGAAGGTGGAGATTCGAGGTCGCGGCACCATCATCTTCCGGTGTCAGAACGGCGTGCACGGCGCATTGACGGATGTGTACTATATCCCGCAGTTGCGTTCAAGCATCATCAGCATCGGGCAATTGGACGAGCACGACTGCGAGGTGCTTGTCAAAGGCGGCGTGCTAAAGCTCAGGGACAGGGAACAGAGGCTATTTGCCATGGTCCAGCGTTCCCAGAACCGCCTATACCTCCTCGACTTGAAAGTGGAGCAGCCGGTGTGCTTGGCGGTACGGCACACCGAGGAGCCATGGCTATGGCATGCTCGGTTCGGCCATTTGAGCTTCGACGCACTCGGCCGGCTGAGGAAGATGGTGCGCGGGCTCCCGCACATCGAGCACGCAGGCGAGCTGTGCGACAGCTGCCTGGCAGGGAAGCAGAGGCGGCTGCCTTTCCCAAAGGCGACCAAGTATCGTGCGGCGGACGTCCTCGAACTCGTCCACAGTGACCTCTGCGGGCCGATCACTCCGGCTACGCACGGCGGAAGACGCTACTTCCTGCTTCTCGTGGACGACTGTAGTCGTTTCATGTGGTTGCATCTCCGAACGAGTAAGGATCAGACGGCGGAGGCGATCAAGCGGTTCCAGGCTCGGTCTGAGGTAGAGTCGGGGAAGCGGCTTCGCGTACTGAGAACGGATCGCGGTGGTGAGTTCACATCTGTGGAATTTGTCGCGTACTGTGCAGAACAGGGGGTGGTTCGCCATCATATTGCGCCGTACTCACCACAACAAACGGCGTAGTGGAGAGGCGGAATCAGACCGTGGTGGGCATGGCTCGAAGCATGATGAAGGCAAAGGGCATGCCGGCGGAATTTTATGGAGAGGCTGTGAGCACGACGGTGTTCATCCTCAACCGCGCACCCACGAAGGCCCTGAAGGGCATGACACAATTCGAAGCTTGGCATGACAGGCAGCCCGACGTCTCGTTTCTGAGGACGTTCGGGTGCATTGGCCATGTGAAGAAGACGAAGCCCTTCCTATCCAAGCTTGAGGATAAGAGCATACCGATGGTCTTCCTAGGCTACGAGGAGGGGAGCAAGGCCTATCGGCTCTACGATCCGCGCGGAGGCAAGGTGGTGGTCTCGCGAGATGTGGTGTTCGACAAAATGGTGGTCTGGGATTGGGAGAATCCTGGCACGGGGGAAGCCCGTGGCGTCAGCGGTACATTTGTCATCGAGCATTTGGGGATCCACGGAGGAGGAGATGTGGGAATAGAGGAGCCAGCTGCGGACGCGCCAAGTCCAGCAACTGTGGTTGCGTCGGTTGAGCCACAAAGTCCGGCCATGGGCACGGGCGAAGAGTCTCCACCAGCGGCTGCGCACACGCCCCCACCACAGTCCCCTGATGCGGCAGGACAGGGGACACCTCCAGCAACGACAGTTGAGTTCGCCTCTCCTCCAAGCAACATCGACGAGTATGTGGATGCCTTCCACGACGGTGAGGAGGTGAGGTTTCGCAGGATGGACAACCTCGTTGGCAACTCGGTTGTACCAGGTTTGGCGAGCCGATTACTCGACGATCAGGAGCTACTCCTCGTCAGCGCAGAGGAGCCATCGACTTTCGCACAGGCCGAGCGCGATGTCAGTTGGAGACAAGCTATGCTAGAGGAGATGAAGGCGATCGAGGAAAATGAGACGTGGGAGCTCGTCGATCCACCTCCAGGCTGTCATCCAATCGGGCTCAAATGGGTCTACATGGTCAAGCGGGACGAGTGTGGGGCCATAGTCAAGTACAAGGCGCGCCTCGTTGCTCGCGATTTCGTCCAGCGTGAAGGCATCGACTTTGAGGAAGTTTTTGCACCAGTGGCGCGTATGGAGTCAGTTCGCATAATGTTGGCCATGGCGGCAGCGAAGGACTGGCGCACTAGACATGAAATCGGCCTTCCTCAACGGTGAGCTAGCGGAGATTGTCTTCGTCAAGCAAGCCTTGGGCTTCGCCGTCAAGGGAGAGGAGCACAAGGTGTTGCGGCTGCGGAAGGCACTCTATGGGCTGCGACAAGCCCCACGAGCGTGGAACGCCAAACTCGATACCACCCTGGGTGCGCTTGGGTTCACGCGCTGCGCGACAGAACATGCGCTCTACACGCGACGACGGGGGAAGGAGGAGCTCATATCATCGTCGGCGTGTATGTGAATGACTTGATCATCACCGGGGCACGAGAAGGGGACATCAACGACTTCAAGTGCGAGATGGCAGCTCGTTTCCGCATGAGCGATCTCGGGCAGCTCTCCTACTACCTCGGCATCGAGGTGAAGCAGGGGAGAGACTCCATCATTCTCTGCCAGCGTGCGTATGCAGGGAAGCTGTTGGAGCGGAGCGGCATGGCTGATTGCAAGTCATGCGCGACTCCGATGGAGGAGCGGCTGAAGCTGATGAAAGCCAGCATCGTAGGGAAGGTGGATGCAACACTCTACCGGAGTATCGTCGGCGGGCTGCGCTATCTAGTCCACACGAGGCCAGATATCGCATTCGCCGTGGGCTATGTTAGTCGTTTCATGGAGGACCCTCGAGAGGATCATTGGGCTGCAGTAAAACGACTGTTGCGTTATGTCAAGGAGACTGTGGACCAGGGCATCATTTTCCCCAAGACCGGGGCGGGAGAGGGCTGCGGCTCATGGTTTTCAGCGATGCAGACATGGCAGGCGACATTGATGGGCGGAAGAGCACCTCCGGCGTGCTCGTCTTCCTTGGATCGGCCCCAATCTCATGGCAGTCGCTGAAACACTAGATCGTGGCGTTATCTACGTGCGAGGCGGAGTACGTGGCGGCAGCCACAGCGGCATGCCAGGCGGTCTGGCTGCGTCGGTTGCTGGGCGAACTGACCGGCGAGGAAGCTCGTCCACCAGCTCTGATGGTGGACAACCAGCCTGCCATTGCCCTTGCAAAACATCCAGTCCTTCATGATCGGAGCAAGATCGATACCCGTTTCACTTCATCCGTGATTGTGTCAATGAAGGACTGATTGTTTTGGAGTTTGTCGAATCCGGACGGCAGCTCGCAGACATCCTTACCAAGCCACTATGCCGTCTTCGGTTCATGGAGCTGAGGATCAAGATTGGAATGGTGGGAAACAAGCAAGAGCAGCAGGATTAGGGGAAGAATTGTAAGATATAATCCTGCAGCTTCCTTGTTAGTGAAGTGCAACTTCCTTGCATTTTCACTTCACTTTCATTGCACTTGCAAAACACTTTCATGGCAGCCATTTTAGGCTAATTTTTCATGACTTTTCAACTTAGTAATTTCTAGGAAAGTCACTAGAATAGTTGTTTTTTAGTTCTTATAAATAGGGATGCAATTTTCATTTCTAAACACACAGAAAAACTTAATACTCAATACATTGAGTTGTTCACAATTTTCTTCTTTCATCCTAAAAGTGTTCGTTTGTGCCGGAAGCATTTTTGCTTACCTGAGTAGTGAACGAGCGAGCAGGGACTAACAAGAAAAGCTACCCTGGCTGGAGAATTTATAGAATTCAATCGACTAGAAAGTTTTGAGGTCACAACATTAGTCTTTACAATACCATTCCCAAGTACATACGGCTGTGAAACCCAAAAATGACCAAATATTAAGCTAATCATCATTTGTACAGAAGCCAAATACAAAGAAACCATATGACAAGCTTGGTATCTTCACTTCCATTTAATCTTCATCAGCTCAAAAACTAATCGTGGACCAAAAACTATAATGTTTCACGGCCGTTACAGGCACGTAAACCAGACATTTTGGTCATCTCATTCTTTAGCCGAAATATCTTTGAGGTCACGCACAATCCAACAGCATTAGCAGACCAAGGGTTTGTGCAGTATCAGTTAGCTGTCATTATGAATTTGTAGAACACCGTGTCAGAAAAAATAAGTTCACCAACTTTTTTGCCTTTCATTACTTAGGAATCCAAGCCAACTATTGGGAAAGCCTAAGGTACATATTTTGAGGTACGGTAGAATTACAGTAAAAGTGTATTATCATCGTGCAAAATTCACGAGATACTATCCTTACTTTCAAGTTGGAAGTGCGGACATCTGGATTTGGTCGTCATAAGCTCCTTCTGGTTCTGAACTTTGCAAGGAGTCTTTTCTGTTACGGTCCAATGAAGTGGCTTCATGAATCCCTGCAAATAAAAATGCTCAATATTTTTGTCACTCAGACGGCCCCATCTACAGAGCCATGTATTGTAAGATGATTTGTGGGGGGAAAAAATTATAATTAAAGGGATAATAAGTAAGATGCCGAAATCTGAGACTAGAAGAGAAATATGCACAAAAGGAAGTAACTATATATTTCTTTGAAAAAAAAAAAGAAAATTGAAACAGTAGGTAACATCCGAAAACACTAATCCGGCAGAAATTCATTCTATAAGAACAGACCATACGAGAAATGCATAAGGTAGCAACTTCTATGTGCTATATGCGTAAATATGCATGCGCAGAATTGAGTGAAACTCATTTCAAAAAGCCATTTAACTAAATGAACCACTAATGAACATTATCAGAATCGGTAATGAGGGTATAGGGGCGTATTTCCAACCAATCGAATTTGAATCGGAAGTGTTAGGCAACTTAGGCTAAGTTATATCAATGTCTGTCATAATAATTAACTTGTAAAAAATCAAGAAAATATCTAATTCGCACCAAAGCTCAAAATGGCAGCACAGAGTAGAAAGCCAGGTAGGGAGAAATCCATCTTGTAGACAATCTCCATGACAATGATGCATCCTCCAGCGACACTTAAATGTCTAGGAGATGAGAAGACCATATGCAGTCTGCAAAAGAATGAAAGAACTAATTGTCTTGCATCAATGCAAGTTGGCAAATTACAGTATCTCGTGAAGACAAAGTGTCACAACAAATTAGGACATAATTAATCGAAAGCTACCTGTTATGTTCATTCATAAACAGGATAAAAGGTATTGAAGGTTTTGTTAGAAAATTAAATGTTTCACCAAAGGGTTTTAATTTCAAGAGCGAGATTGCGAATTAAAGAACAGATGTCTTCAATGTATTAACTTCCAGTGATGTATCTGCTTGTTAAGTTTTGTCCCATTCTCAGTGCCATACAGTAAGTTTGGTGCCATCAGAATGGATGGATTGAACCAGATTTTAAACACGAGATCATTTAACTACACGGACAAGCCAAGTACAAATGAAAGCAAAAGTCAAGATATGAAATGGACCCATGACTGTGCTATACGTATATTGGTTATAATTTCCACAATGTGTAAAATGCATGAAACAGAAAATAACAAAACCAGCAGAGCTTAGAAAACCATTGATAAACAATAATAACACTTCGAATTAGAAATGTATATAATAAATCTATCAGCATGTACTCAAAGTGTCAATTGCTAATCATGAAGATTTATTAGGTAATACAAGTAATGTTTCTTTTTATATTCACCTTATGTTCAGTACCTAAAGTCAGTTAGTCCACACCTACAATAACTAATAAGCCATAGCGGAGAATATATTGCCAAAAATGTGATTCATAACGAAATTTCCGGTAGCTTAATACCCAATAAATGGTTAAGAACTTGAACATATAAATTGCAATGGATGAAAGTATAAAGAAGAACTACGCATAGAAGAGGTTACGGAAGTGTACCTTTCCTCTGCTATACTGTCCACATAAAATATCAAAATAATACCAAAAAGAATAAAGCTCGAAAAGGCCCATACAGAAAATGGCAATTCTACATCAGTTGATCCCTGAAAATTTTGAAGACAAAATAAGGAAAAGTCGAATATCAGCATAGACAGCAGCAACATGCAATTATATATCGAAAGGAGTAGTTAACAGATAAAAAGAAATGATAAATAAGAAATGGAAGAGAACAATGAGATCTGTTATACACAGTCTGTACGGAAGAACTCAGGAAAGTCAAACTCACAATGATCATATCCCACATGGCAACAGGGAACAGAAAACAGGTAGCAGAAGAAATAGTTATGGCATTAAGCCTCCTTTTGAGTTGATTCTGGAATAGAAAAAAAAGAATCCCGGTGTCAACTCTGGTTCTTTCAGTCTTTGTTCAGAGTGTATGCAAGTTTAAAAGAGATGCTTGATACCATATTATATGGACTATGAAGAAACAGAACATCAATACCTTAAGTGAGACACGTCTTGCAATCACTCTTCTTAATGCTGATAAAATTCCAGCAAAGATGGGAATTAGCATCTCTTTGATTCCTAAGACATCAGCTGACTGGACCTCTGCCTCTTGATTATCACTAAATGGTACTTTTATGTTAAGTTCAAAGTGAAATGACTTGTAAATATGCGGATGAAAACTAGAGCAAAACCAATAGCACACTCATTTGGCAATTAATACTTGCTCGATTTAGAAAGGATATCAAATGGAGTTTTTGTGGCCATGGCCCATCCTTGAGACAAGAAGTAGAACGATGCCAACATTGCCAAGAGGCCACCCACCTGAAAAGAGAAGGGAATTTTATACTTAGTTAAATAGAGGCCAAGGCAACAGACAGTGACCAATATCCTCTCAAAAGAAACGCCAGTCCACCCTATTATTTTGATCAGTATAAAGGGTTTTCTAGCGACATTAACTTGACAATTTACATTTTATGACAATACTGAAGTAAATCTCGCATTCAAATCTAATAACACATCCATATGCATCTGAAAGCACATCCCAGTCCTCAAAAATTAATTAGGATCAGCACTACTGGGAATTAAAAACAAAGCATATAAAACCATTGATAGAAAAGGTAAAGCAAGAAATATATATGAAGGCAATACCTTTTTCCACACATTGCCTCTCCTCCCATATAAAACTCCAGATAATACTCCAAGAACAGCACCAGAATACTCAGCCAATATGGCCCTGGCATAATAAGCATTGGTGTTGTTGATAGGTTAACAGTATTAGATAGAATGATAAAGAAAATAGAAAAGGAAGAAACCAACTTAAGCTTCACTCATAATCATATACGGAAAAATACACACTGCATCATCAGCAAGCAACATATATGTTGTACAAACAAAATCAGGGAAAAAAAATCCAAAACCATGTCCAATAGCCTGGTTTTCACCCCTATAAAAGCAGTAATTGGTCAAAAGATAACCATGTATGCTATGCCGAGGTACACTAGTCAAGTTGGAACATTGATAGGTAGGACTAACTTAACTGGACTTTCTTCGGCACCATAACTGAGCAGATAGCAAGCCAGTTAAGCCAGTTATGCTTCGTGTCTAGAGAAAAGAAGCAAACTGCATTGCCTAAAAATATATGCACCAGCACATAAATAATTTGGCATACAGACAAACTCTAATGTGAATTCCCTAAGCTACCGCATTGCAAGTTGACAAGACAATTCTTTTTTAAGCAGTTTAAATAACAAATTATCTTTTTAAATAGCAAAGCTAGAAGAAAGCAATCAAGAGGCTCTTATAAATCTCAATTTTCAAATTTTCACCTGAGAGGACCACAAGACTTAAGCCCCTTTCCCCACAAGATGAAGTATAGGGCTGTTATACCACCATTTATCACAGAAGGCACTACCTATAAAATAAATGCTAAACATAAGCATCAAAGCGAAGATAGACATGTCAAATTATCTTGTGTTCATCAAACAGAATTAACAACAGAGGAGCAGAATATTTGGCAACAACCTGAGTATTTGAAAGAGGTCTGCCCTTCCAAGGTTTTTGCAAAAGTAAAAACAGAAAGGATGCTGGAACAAGACAACTGAAGATGAACAAAATCACCGACGCCCCTGATTGAGATAAGTAACGGCACACAGAGTAAACTGACCAAATCCGCAGGAGGTTACCAATAATGTGGATGATTTGCAGGGGAGTTTGCCTACATTCAAAACGGATGTATCAGATCAACCAAATGAGAAACAGGAAAAAGGGAGCAAATATATTCTCCACAAACTTAAATCTACTTACTTAAACTGTAACAGTACTCCATTACTACTCCATTACTGGAGATTACTCCAGGCATGGATCTCTTCGACTTACACTAACTACGGGTGGATTTATTGACAATGCAATTTAAAATGGCTTACTTTGACCACGCTAAAAGCTAAAGCAACATTGCCACGACCTTTTTCGACGCCATACTAAGCCAAACCATGTACCCCAAAACACACTAATCCTTCCAAGAGTACTTTGCATACCACATAGAATTAACTAAACAGTTTATTATGTGGTTCCTTTTTGTCTTTCGATAGTCGTTTTTCGTCTTTTCCAGTGCCCTAACTAGGTGGCTAATCAAGCTGTGCATTTCATACACCAGGAAACTCCATCAGAGAGAAAAAAAACTACCGACTGATGCGAAACATGAAATGAGAAATTTAACCCAGCTCGTTGAATCACTAGAACAAAACACAACTATTTTCAGTGGAGAAAACGATGATCGACTGACCTGAACGTAGGAGAACGAGAAGTGCCTCGATTATCAGGGATTTGATTTGGGGACATCATTTTTCTGTCTCTATTTTCAACTAGTTTTTCTTGAAATTACGAACAATTCAACTGCATAGCTATAATGTCACTCATGGGAAAATGCAGATTAGAGAGAGAACGCCATGAACAGCAACTGAAATTGTTGGATTGCTATGGCGATTGGCAAAATTTTAGTTGCTTTTTTAAGCTGGAGTTTGATTTCAATCGGAACATGAAGATGCTCTTTGTTGGGTTTTCTAAATGGGTTATGGGGTTTTGGGTGTCGGCCCATCTTAAAAAGCAAGTGAAAACATATTAGTCCAATTTACACCTAGTTTGAAAAAGATAAATTTACTCCCTTTACAGATGTTTGTGGAAATAATATCACATTTACGAGAAACAAATCTTTTCATCATATATACGTTCTATAATAATAATTTAAGGGAGTCAGGTGTTAAATGAGGCCTCGTTAATCAATTTTAATTTTATTTAATTAAGAAAGATAATAAGTCAGTTTTAAAAACAATAAACCACACCCAATTAGATTATTGCATGATTTTTGGAAAAAGAAAAAAGAAATTAAGATTTTCTCTCTCCACATCTCGTTTATTGTGCACATAACATCTCACAAAAGAAAAGAGATATTGATCCCTTCATGGCTTCATCAGTCTATAACAAAAAAAAAAAAAAAAAATCTTCATCTCTCATCTCTCACACACAAGAAACTAAAACTCTCTCTGCGAAAATTGGAAGAATGCCAAAGCGTAAATAATTGAGGCAAAAAATTCCAACAACATAGACGAAGTAAGGATAGTTCGATCCCGATTTCGTCA